TGGCAGCTAGGTTGTGCAGTAACGGCTGGATTTTTTACCATGCCCGTTTGAGCTGTAACGACAAGGCGCCGAGGTTGGCCGCCGGCTTCTGTTTGTCCAGGTCCTGCTGGACGACAGCCCGAAGTTCGTCGATCAGGATGAGGTCCGGAGGGCAGCGGGCTAGCATCTCTTTCCTTCAGAAGTCTGGCACGTTCAATTCGCACCACTGCTAGGCCTTGGCAGAGCGATGAGCTGGCGCGCCGTCCTGATTGAAAATGCATGTCAACATGTCATTGACCATGCGTTGGCTTAGTATTGGGCCAAAGGTAGGTAATGAGCCTTGGAGAGCTCTTCCAATAGCGTCTCACGGTCCTGTTTGGAGATGTGATAGCGCTTCAGCGCGAGCCGCTTGGCCAATTTTGTCGCCAACTACTGGCCCCTCTTCCCGGTCGCCTTTTTCAATGCGATTTCTGTAACGTTTGAAATGGTAGGCGCTTGCCGGCGAACTGGAACGATCAGCAACACTGCCAGCAGCCGTATGCTTATCCCACCAACACCGGACTGTGCAGACAGTTCGTCTATAATTAAGACTTGCAAACAAAAACAACAGGCAGATGTCCCAACCAATCAGCAATGACACGCTGTGTCATTTCGGCCTGAAGCATGCCGACAGTCTGGTTCAGCTCCCTTGATAGAAATTTCAGACATTCACGTAGCGACGCAGCCGTTCAGGTGGACAATCTCTGTGAAACTGGCCGTAGCTCGGTGATCCGTGACCCGAGGCCCGTTCGTCACCTCATATTTTGCGGCCAATGACCGTGCAATGCAGGAGTGCAGCCTGAATCGTCATCCCTCAGGTGTAGACACGATTAGGAACAGGAAAGTGTTGTCATAGGTAGTGGACATAACTTTTGCCGAACCCTATATTGTCGTCCAGTGTTGTCTTTCATTGTTAGCGAGACGCTACATGGAGTTAAAATGGTGAGCGGCCCTCCCGCTGGAATGGCGAGCGTCCTTCTCTGTCAAACTTGGCGCTAGTTTCCGCCTAAGCTCCGCTGGCCCGCTCGACTGCTATGTCATGCGGCACAGTCTACAAGTACAGGTGACCGGTCGCGAGATCGGAGCTCCGTAGCACCAAGCGAGTGTGGCGAAGGCGGGGGTATTCACCGCATCAAACCTACAGGTCGCCTGGACCCTTATCTTGAGACCAATAGTACATGCAGAGGTACATGAAATGCACAGGGCTTATCCCAGCCGCCGATTGTAGCTAGATTGGGCATTCGGCGGAGAGTGAATGTCGGAAGTGTGAATCGGATGTAATTTATCTTTGCTCCAGTGAGAGGAAGTGTTTTGTTCACTCGAGTGTAAACAAAAAGTTTCTCGTTTTTCGTGTAAATTTACACGGGAAGGGAAACAAAAAATATTTAACGGAACCAAAAGTTACGAACGGAATAGCGGCAAGGGATCCCTTAGAGATAGGCTTGGGACTTCTAGGCCATTTCAGGTCACTCAGGGTCAGTGTGGGCTCTCAGAAGCCTGCTTAGGATCCTGGAGATCGGTGTGGGTCACCCCAAATATTTACGTGTATGTGGTGCTTTAGGGCTTTCCGAGCCCAAGGTTGGGCCCTCAGAAGCCAATGTGGGCGGCGGGCGCTAAGAGACTATAGGCCCAGGGTGACCCTGGAGCCCTCGGATAACAGTGTGAACCATCGGGGTCTGTGTCGAATCCCTAAGGACCCTACGTAGAAACATACTGAAGCATGTGTTGCGGCCCTAGGAGGGACACGTGAGTTGTGACCCCTCAGATGCCGGCTTGGGGTTAGCAAAGTCTGTCGCCTGAAAAGTTCGGCTAAACTATCAGAAGCCAGTTATGGTTGTCATAAATTTTCGAAGGCATCCTCAAAGATTCGTGTGGCCCTTCAGAGGTCTACGTATGTATAAGGTCTTCAAAGATCCCTGTATGGGCCCTCAGAGAACATGTACACCAGTGGGACTCTCAGAGGCTGGTTTGGGCCCTCTGAAAGCTTCTTAGAGCTCAGTGGAGCTCCTTAGGAGCCTGTGTGAAAAGCAAGCGCACTTGAACGGTACTTGAGCCTGTCGCAGACATTTGACGAGAGTTGAGAAAGGCCCCGAATATTTCGTGTCACGCTTTGAACGAAAATTATGTGTCAGCACTCCAAAACTTATGAAAGTCAGCCATAAAATGTAATAAAGAACCAAATAGGAACAGGGAATGAATCACAGCATTTACATTTTCGAGTTAAGAGTCCAAGTCATGAAGATTTTGGCGACTGCAACTCCGACTCTGGTTTGAACTGCACGCTCCAACCGAGTCTGACCTCACAGGCATTCTCAGAAAGGTACCCCCATTTTTTCCCGACTCCAAAATCTCATCGGATATGTATCGGTCTCAGGGGGTGCCCGGTCCGAGGTTGGGGGGGGGGCAAGCTGCCCCGCTTGCCCCCCCCCCGTGGCGACGCTAATGAAAATCTATAGACTTACTCCACAAGTAGATTGAATTTGAATTGGTTGACCAATTCAATCTTCTTGTAGCGTACCTAAGTCCATAAATTTCCATCAATACCTAGGTATCATTTTCACTTTCCACATCATGTCATTACGTCAAGTAATTTCAAGTTATGTGGTACCTACCTACCTACCTACCTACCAAGTTTCACAATAGTCAGGGGCGTCGTTTTGTATAGGCCTGGTAGGGCCCGAGCCTTAGCAATGTTTATTTGGGCCCTACCAATGTTCGCTGAGCCCTACCAATCTTTTGTCACTTATCAGTTGATAAAAAATCAAAATAAACAGATAAGCAAATATTAAATAAGCACATATGCAAGTACATAAATAAGGTTCTAGCCACAGTAGGTGCATGTAGCTGACAATGAGGTTTCACGTGTCTAGGACTCCGGTCCTTAATGGATTTTAAGAGGCTCGAAAACGCAATTGGTTATAGAGGTCCATAACTGCCTCTGAGTCCCGCATACCACGCGACCGCCCCTAATAGACCCCGATCCGTCTCCACACCAGCCGCTGGAGGCCCTACACCGACTTCGGAAGGTGCCGCGGTGCTCCAGATTAGGCCATAGGTATATTGATTTGAGTGGGTGATGCAGCCTGATTCCCCAGGGTTCAACGCCAGGTCATTACCGCATCAGACCCCGAAAACTGAAGCTCGTAACTACGAGGGGGCCAGGGGCGTTCAAAAAGTTTCGGGCCGAACAATGAAGGAGTTGGAATTTTGGCCTGCAAGGCGGTGTGTTAAATGATGTGTTATTGGGATGTCCACTTACGCAAATTAAGTAAGTGGCCATTAATTAAGTCTCTTCTGTGATTGATTCGGGCTTCTATTCGTAGCATAGTTCGCCATTTCGGATAGGATGGGCGACGCCCAGAAGAGAGCAGTGATTCGTTTCATAGTAGTTAGTGCAGAAAAGGCACCAAGCGTTAACCCTCGCCCTGGGCATTTTTCATAACAAGGCCTGGCAGGGGGAGGGGTCGATGCGACCCCCCCCCCCTTCGCTCGTCAACTTTCCAAAACAGGGGCACACAATTGATGATGTGCGTCCATTCGATAAACATCGAGGAGAGGCTATAGGGAAGCTGACGTAAAGTGTGCACCTGATCCGCGACCACGCACCTGCGTACATGGGCGGGATGACGAACAGTGAAGCGATGAGCTTCGAGTTGTTGTCGCATCCACTTTTTTCTCTCCGAACCTTGCACACTCTGGTTAGTGGTTGCCACCTCTTCCCCAACATAAGAAAATTAGCAGCGGCAACCTCGCTAACAGCAGGGAGACGAAATCAGCCGTCTTGGACGTGCAGGATGGGTCCAAAACCCACTTGGTTATGGAGGCCTTGAGGGCTCTCGCGAAGCGCTGCGCGAAATGTGTTTGTCTTAACGGTGTTTATTTGAATAAATGAACTTTTTGGTCTAATGAGTCGATGCTGTATCTCTCTGCTCCTTCATGGTCGGGCCCGTAGCTTTCTGAACGCCCCTCGTACTGTCATCCTTTTATTTTGGCAAGCAGGTCTTTCTATCGTTGTGTTTCCAGTCCTCGTTAGTTGTCGAACCCTTCAATTGGCGTGGGTCTTCAAAACCGTTCCTGGCCCCGCAGCCGTCTTTTTTAGTCGGCTTGGGCCCTCAAAGCTGTTCCTGTCCCCTTTCAGCACAGCCGTCCTTTTAAGTCGATGTGGGCCTCTTTCAGAATGGCGTGCATTCCTCCGACACTATTGCCTATATAACTGCACGTTTTGTGCATGGCGTCCGGTGTGGACCCAGATTTCCAATTTTTTTGTGTTTTTTTTTTTTAGATTTCGGTTAGTCTTGTCAATGACCAGGGCGAAAAATAAGTGGCCGAAATCCGATGAGAAAGGCAGATTTGGGGGTACCCTACCTTGTAAGCCCCGTCATATATGGCAAGCCGCCGCCTTTGGGCACTACCAATCATTTTCGGAAAACGACACCCCTGGCTGCTCTAATCAATCTCTGAAAGCTTCAAGGCAATCGATCAATCGGTGTAGCTATGACGAGCATTCTTTTATTTTTTCTGAGGTGAGGTCACTTGGCGTGACCTGGTGACCTGACCTAAGGCGACCTGGGTCTGGAATTTTCACAACTTGTGCGGAAAAGATGCACAAACAGGTGTGCCAAAAACGGTGGCGCTCCGCGCCGCCGTTTTTTAGATACCTGCGAAAAACCTCAGTGGGGGGAGGGGGTGTTCAAACACCCCCGTCCCAGGCCCGGCGCGGGAAAACACTGCCACCTCATAACGGAAGAATGTAAATCCATCATAACATTTCAAGTGCAGTTGGCCTTATCGCCAACGTCACAGGGAACGTGGAATCATAAATAATTTTGATAGGTAACAATCGTTTGAACATATCAGACGAGCATATGACAGAGCATATGCTGGCCTACTTAGTTCCCACTGCACAAGTATGCAAAGCCATTGGCCGGTGAGCGAAAACTATTGAAGTTAAAACTTGACCGAAAGAGGATTCTCCCCGACAGAGGATGTCATTCGGAAAAAATAAACACCGATGACGCCAAAAACCGTCTGGACAACGGAACCGAGCCCGTCTCGGACATCGTCTCCGACCTGGCTTCCAACGTCACTGAGCAGACGTCACAGAACAAGCCGCTGACGTCGGGTGACGTCATCAACTCTGTGCAGCTGCTGCCACAGATGGTGTCCGCTCAGCAGGCCCAGCTCAGCGGACAGGCCGACCAGGACAAGGAGGTCGTGAGCCAGTACGTAACGATCCGGCGGCGGCAGCAGCATTCGTCGACTTAAGCTTTTAAGTGTTGAAGATGCGATCGACTTGTTGGTTCACAAGCTATTAGTTTCTGAGATATAACCGGAAATGTAAAAGTGCCAAACCTATACCGCTTAATCTCGCGAGAGCCGTACCATTGCGCAGCACTGTTAGACCGCTGGTCAGGCATTGCTGCACTTACACTATATCGCGTTCGGCGTTGTCACTGTAAATCCATTCGCACAATACAAAAGTGTAATTGACCGTCTAAAAGGAACATTTGAGATATAGTTGACGTGCCCATGGTTCCTTATTCTTGGCTCCTTGGTCTATTCCAGGTATGTAAACAATATCACCTATTTGGTGGGCGAGCTGACCCGACAGGAAGAGTCGTGGCACTCGATGCCTCGCGCCAACCGATCGCTCACCTCCTCGACGCTACAGACCAATGTGGAACAGTCGGCCTACCTGCTGGCGCCCTATCTCAACGACACACACGCAGACTTTAACTACGACACAATCCGTGAGTGTTCTGTGAACGTAACTAGGCTTGCTTCATATGTTTATTTAGCGAGTAAAGGCACAATTTTACGGGATTATAATACGACATGGCATTGGCATTGACGTCTAGTATTTGAGTTACAAGTTGCACCAGCATTATAATGCTATTCAAGCAGAATGGCAGCCTAGGCACACAATTTAGCACAGAGAGGTTTTGGCATGGTCCCGATTTTGACAACGATTTTAAACGCATTTACATAAGCGGCGTGACGTCTTCGGCAGGTGTGCGCACGGGTCGGTATACATCACTGGAAGGTAACCTCGAGTACCGCACACAGCAAGGGTCCACTGTGACGCTGCCAGACGAGGTCGGCAGGTTCAACGATAGCGGCAACACCACCATCGTCTTCGTCGAGTACGGCAACATGGACTGCCTGCTTCAGAGTCAGGAGTGCAGGTCAGGAAGCCTGGGGGATGTGATAGTGCCGGCAACATATTCTTTATGTGTCATCAAGTTACAGCACATTTATAAGATTCAATCAAACAAGGGGTGTTGCAGATAAATCCGACACTTGAGAGGCAAAATACGAAATCGGCAATGAAAGCATGAATATTGCACACACAGGCCTGGCATTTTATTCAGCACCAGTTCGAGTCATATGCTGCACTTCTACTCGATGTAACCGCCGTCGGCGGCGACGACCATCTCAAGCCGAGGGCGAAATGATTCGCACGCCTTGGCGACCGTGTCCTTGTCCGTACGGCGGCGAACTCTGCCACGATGGCGGCCTTGAGAGAGTCGACGGTATTGTGTGCGTGCTTGTTGGTCTTGGCCTCGATCACGCCCCAGAAGAAATAATCGAGGGGGTTGCAGTCAGGTGAGGAGGGCGGCCACAAGTCCGGCGACCAGTGGTGAGGGACGTTGTTGAGCAGCCACGCCTGCGTCGTCCTGGCCTTGTGCGCCGGGGCGGAGTCTTGCTGGAAGACGTTCGTTGCTGAAGAAAAATTCGTTAGTTGTGTTTTGGGGGAGGCAATTGATCATAGAGATGTAACATACTGCCCAAACTTTTCATCGTGAGCAAAGCACTCGAATAAACACGTTTTTTCCAAGTGTCGGATTTACCTGCAACGCCCTGTAGTACATAATTCCCAAGCGAAATACGCGGGTTTACCCGTACCTAAACAGCTGTCGACACCAATGACTTTTGTTTCTCAGAACGTCAGACCAATGGTATGCCCAGGAGAACTTGGAGTTTCCCGAGTTTGTCAACTCTCCGATGATCAGCGCGAGTGTCGATAACGTCTCGGTGGAGTTTAATACCTCGAGTGTCACACTCCGGTTTCAAACTCGGCTCTCGGCGAGACAGTTCAACCTCTCCAACGTGCAGTGTGTGTTCTGGAACAACTCCATCAGCCGGGTGAGCTCTACATTTTACAATGATGTGATAAATTTCAGCCTAATCTGGTATGTATGTAGTTACAGATAAAACGTTTTATAAGCATAGCTTTGTACATTGAATGTCTTGAATATTGAGCGTAGCTAAATGATTTAGTAAGATTATGACAACGACATCATCTTAGAGCTGGTTCACCGCTTCTTTTCTCTTCATTGGTGAGGAGATAGGTATTAAAGCATTGAAACAGTCTTGCCAGTAAACCATAGTTTATGCGTCTTTGCATATCATCCAGAGTGTTTGTCATTTTAGTTTTTAATTAATCGCTACGCCCATTCGTACAACTGTGTGTTCTTATCTCAGTGGTCGGACAATGGGTGCCGAGTGGGTGCGGTGACCAATGACAGCGTGGAGTGTTTCTGCGACCACCTGACCAGCTTTGCCACCCTGATGGACATCAACGGCATCATCCAGGAGGGATCGGTAAGCGGCGGCCGACAGACACAGAACAGATTTCAGGCGACTGGGGCTCTAAAAAGTGTTCAGTTGCAGTGTAGGAAACGGTACGGCGTGCTTGGAAAAGTAGTTATTTTGATTTCGATAACAATAACCGCCATTGCCATTGCCGTCTTCTTCAATCCATTGAAGGAAATGAAGAACAAAACATAGAATGTTTTAACTTTTAAAAGAAACATATCCACTTGGACCCATTTACAGCTAAATGGTGAGTAAATGAGATTTAGACTTTGCATAGTACCGCAAGGCTATGTCCACATGTTTTCACAAGAGCAAAGCGCGCTGAGGCCGCCTGAATGTCTCTGTCAGCCGCTGGACCTGGTGCTGGGCTGGCTGACCACCCTCGGTTGTGTGCTGAGCCTGCTCTGCCTGGCTGCCTGCCTTCTGGTGTTCACTGCCATCCCAGCTCTCCGCCGCGACGCCTCACTGGACGGCTACCGACAGGCCATCATGAGTCAGCGGCTCGCCATCCACCGCAACCTCTGCATCTGCCTGTTCGCCGCCGAGTTCATCCTGCTCGTCGGTCAGTGGATTAGCGTGTTTTTGTGTGCGGAGGTCGGTTGGACCCCCCTTGCCGTTTGGCCCCTGATCGAGCTAGAGCTTCGCGGAAAAAACGAGCGTGTTGCCCGTGACGAGAGGAAGCCAATGATACCCAATTGGTCCTAGGTCATTGGTTGACCTTCCAGGTCAGGTCAATGACCCAAAGTCGGGAAAATCGGGACCTGTTAGAAAGTCGTGAAGTGTGGCTGCTAAGGGGTTTTTCGGGGTGCTGATCACGAATATCATGGTAGTTTTGATCACAGATGATGTCTTTAAGCATTTGGACCAGGTCGGGTCAGGTCAGGTCAGGTCAACCAGTAGGCGTCGTGACGGGTATTCGTAGTAGGTACGTGTCAACCGCCTCTGACAGCTTCGTAACATGTTACGAAGTCACCAAAACTACTTCGTAAACGTTCAAATGGTTGCTAAATTCGAATTCAGCTCCAAAACTAGCCTAGAAACATGTAAAACTCGAAAAAGTGAACCGAGGTCACCAAAGGCCAATGACCTGTCCTGACCTTCAGGTGACCTTGACACCCACCCTAATGCCCAGCCAGCAATCCCACTCCGTTCCCGATCGGGATTTTCGGACTCAGCCCGCACCACCCCGATCGGGACCGGAGTGGGACGGCATTGGGAAATGAGACACTTTGTACGGGCTGGAACGGTCCGGATATCCCAACCTACCCCGCAGGGCCGATTGGGAGATCCCGCACGTATCCGGACCGCCTTATGACGTTTTAACAAGCGCTGAACTCCGATCCCGATCGGGATTCCCCAAATCTCCCCGTACAACCGGTTCGGAAATCCCGCACGCATCCGGACCGCCTTATGGCATTTTAACAAGCGATGAACTCCGATCCCGATCGGGATGTCCCAACTCGGCCCGCACGGCCGGTTTGGGAATACCGCAGGCATCTGACATATTAACCGCAGTCTTATAACCGCAGATTGCTGTTATGCAGATGTGACCACTTTGCTTGCGCCACCGCAACCCCCTCGCCTCTTCATTATTCTCCAACTCAACCTTTATAATGCCTGCACGACAAAATGAATTACATTGGACACTGAAATATATTCACAAATTTACTGGTTGCACACAAGTCAAATTTTCACAAATTCACAGCCTGGCCAGCACATTCGTGGCGTCGGCCATCATCTTAGCGCCGCTGCAAGGCGCTGGCACAGCGGACTCACTTCCGGTGTTCACAGTCATTATAGCACGCCTGCGCCTTGTTCGTGTCGGCTCCTCTGCGGACAGTGTGTCCGTCTGCCGTCACGAGCTTCAGAGAGCCACCGCGAAACTAGACGGCTGGCATCTGGTCGGGCGGTTCACCACTGTGCGAAGAGAGCATCTGAAAATGACCAAGAGGTTATTAATCAAAGTCTGGGACACACTAAAAATCACTAAGAAATAATCCACATCTGACATTTCACATCGTACCTATGCCTGGTAATTCAGGTTTCAAACCTACAATGCAACCATTAACGACACTTGACAATGAGACCAAACATCTTCTGTCCATGATAACTGATCAAACATGCGACAGCACGAGTGTAATTCACATGCCGTACAACCACAACGAACATAACAATTTCTATTACCTATAGCTTTCCCGCTCCCTACATCACGGATGAAGTGTGCACTATACTCACCCTGTTCTCAAAGACGGACTGATTTCCCTGCAACGACAACAGTTGAACCGACCGCTTGCTAGAGCCAGTTCAAAAGCAATATCCCGATGCAGTAGCTCAAAGGAGGGATCGACACTTGACCAACGCGGCAGCTAGACTGGCCGCTGCGCTCAGAGGACGCGTCTGCCTGCACGCGGCCCATCTGATTGCTTTTCCAGACTTTCTGGGCCACCGGATATGGTGCCCGAAGCGCCTTCCCAGATCGGTTGGGATAACAACGTAAATCACAAGCCTGTCTAAACATGGGATTCGATTGGGCTATCCGTACCGCGTCCCAACCGATTAAGCATGCGGTCCGGAAATCCCGAGTCGCCCCTACCGCCGGCCATCGAGGTCCGGTATCGATTGGGACAACCCAGGCCTACCCAACCCGGTAGGGACAAGTCGGGACATCCGGAGCCTATCCCGACCGTCCCCAACCGCATCCCGGACGAATTGCTGGCTGGGTGCATGGGAGCAACATCAAATCACATGTTTGAACGTTTGAAACCACGAAAAGCTTGCAAACGCGCGGCTAATGCGAGCCGACATACGCGGAATCGCGATGCCGGCCAAACGTGGTCTCGGAAAAGAGGTCACAGGTCAAAGGTCATTTGGGTCAGGGTCATGAAACTTTCAGGGTAGGTGTAAAATTGATCAATGCGAGAGTACTGAAAGTTTCGTCGCGATCGGCCGCTTTTTACGCGAGTTATTCGCGAAAAACCATGGGAGGGGGTCCATCCGACCCTCCCCCTACACATGCGAGGGTTAATTTGCTATGCTCCATGTTAACCTTCCAGGCGGTGGGGGGGGGGGGGCATTTTTTGCCCCCCCCCTTTAGTTTTTTCGATATATCTCGAGAACCGCTGCGCCGATCGTCACCAAACTTTCAGTACCCTCCCGGGAGCAGCTAGCGCACATGGTGACCAAAATTTTTTTTTCCAAAGGCTATGATAGGTTGGCCGCTAATGACGTCAGAGTGACGTCATTTTTGCCATTTTCGACCCAAAAAAAGGTTTCGCGGGAAGAGCTGTCAGGCCTACAGCTTTAGAGATACAGAAAAATGTTTCAGACATAAAAGGTGTGGAATAAAAGGGGCTACAAAACTGCTATTTCGGTTTTTCGAATTTGTTGGATTTTGACCCCTAAAAATAAAAAAATAGATTTTTTGAATATAATAGCCAAAAAATCCAAAAAGTTTTTTGATTTTCGAAAAAAACCGGAATATATGTGATAGCCCCTACCGCGTTCTATCTACAACCAAATTTGAGATCGATACCTCTTTTTTTGGCCAAGTTATAGCGAAAAAACTGTTCAAAATTGATGACGTCAAATTTTCAAACTCAATTTTTAGCAATTCTAGACCTCGTAGCGCAAAACAAAGACCACCATTAGACTCCCCGTGACGAGCTGCATCGAATCAATACCCATTATATGCAAAAATATCAACTTTGAAATTTGACCTTTTTTGACCTGACCTTGACCTGACCTCCACCAGAAAGTGACCTAAACCGTACCTGATGGTCTTATAACCAACACCATTGAATTGGAAATGAAAAACTGGCCATAAAACATGCATCGCATAACCTTAGTAAAGTTGGGCTCATGTTGTGACCCTTGGTGACCTTTGGTAACCTGACCTGTGACCTGACCTGGTATGACCAGTGACCTCTAATAGCAACATATGTACTAGACAACTGACGCCTTATCGCTGATTTTCGACAAAATGCGTTTTACTCGGTGTTATAGCGCTTTCCCTTGAAGCCCCGTGAACGGTGAAACATTTTATCTTTGACGTGACCTGTGACGTCATCGGTGACCCCAAGGTCATTGAAATTTGGTTTCCTTCGACAAATTTGACAGGGCTATCGAACGCCGTTTGAATTTTCCGGATCTGTCCAGTAGTTTCGGAGATACTGGGGGGGGGGGGGGAAAGTGCCCCCCCCCCCCACCGCGCGGAAGGTGGCTGGTAGGCCCACCGCCTGCCGGGTTAACAGGATCATGAATTTCCCACATCATGCTCGATCAGCACGTAATACGATCATATCCAATTAATTAAAAAAATAAACTCGTTTTCCTTATTTCAGGACTGGAACCGCACGGGAATGAAACAGGATGCGCTGTGGTCGCTGTGCTTTTGCATTTCCTTTTCTTGGCGGCCTTCGTTTGGATGTGCATCGAAGGAATTCAAATATGCATACAGTTGTATCTAGTAAGTAGTAAGTGGGCTCATTTATCACGCATGGCTCTAAACATGCATAGCTGTGTAGTGTGTAAAGTATGTACGAACAGCACCGCCAGTACTTTGTTATGACATTGAAATGATGCTCAAAATGCATTCAAAACTAACATGAACATTGAACATGGACCTGAGCTGTGGTCGCAAAACTTTCGCCGTCACTGAACTTAACACAGCCTTTAAGTGTACTACATTTAAGTGTACATGCAGTAATGCTACAAGTTTACAAATTTATTACCTTTTTATGAAAACTTTTATCAATCGTTAGAAATAGCTTCATTGTTTCATTCTAAGTCCATAATTTTGTAAGCCACCATGAGCTTATGCACTTTTAACGGTAACTTTATGAACGATTCGCGGCTTTCTCACTGCTGCTTTTGCAGTGCAGCTTGTTTTTAAGCTACTAAAACTGCTGCTCTGCCACTTGCTCAAACCATTCCGTTTCTTTCAGGGTTTAAGTGTAAAAGGCTACTACATGCGGCAATACTACATGATTGGCTACGGCGTGCCTGCAGTTATTGTCATAGTCTCTCTTTCTATCACGAAAGGGGAGGGATACGGCACAGAACTTGCGTAAGTATATCGCGAGAGACTATATAGGGCGCAGAGCAAATACGAATTTGGTACGACAATGGATAACTTTTGCGGCTCTATTGTGTAGGTACATAAATTAGGCATTAACGTTTGCGACATCTTACATTCACGAGTCACGACTAAAGGCTCAATATGTTGGCGCTACAACATAAGGAATAAGGAGTGAGAAGAATGAGAATGAGGCATAAGGAATGAGGATAAGGCTTATTCGTGTACAAAAGTTGGAAAATTATGGCAGTTATGAGTTGACCTTGTTTCAAATTAATCGTAAATCAGATATCAGAAGTTGCTAGGCCATATCAATAATGCGAAACTATATAAAATGTACTGCGCTGGTACATGAGCTAATGCCTTAGCTCTAACCAGCCGAGTGCTCCGCTGTAAGCGCAGAATTAGCTCTGACCTGAGCTAAAGAGCCTGAGACCTTGAGCTGCCATCGCTTTAAGTTCCTAGTCCTTTTCCTAGGGCCTCGAACTAACCTGTCGTGCTGGTCTAACCGTAACTACTAACCCGCTGTACATAGATGCTGGCTCAGCGTCGAGAACGGACTGATCTGGGCGTTCGCTGGTCCTGTGCTGGTGGTGCTGACGGTAAGACTCGGGACTCCGATCATTTTTCCTCAAGGGACATGCAATGTCTGATAATGCGGCATAGAGTAATAGGTATTCATTTTGCTTTAATCACTTATGCCCGTTACCTCCATATCAGTTTAACATATGTAGATATTTTATAAGATCTCTATGATCGCCTCCTTTCTTATTCATTTGGATTAGCCTGAGGCATATGAGCTCAAGGGACGTGGTGTTGCCGACTTCATAACCGTTTGTACGCAACAATGCATAATACAGTAACGTAAAAATACACTTCCCTTCTGACTTTGAATTAGCTTCGTAGACTCATGACCTCCACGCTTATTATCGAAGCTTTCTCATCCCCGTTCCTCATTTTCCGTCCGTCAGGTGAACGTTGCTGCCCTCGCTTTGGCGATGCTCCAGAGGTGCACCAAGGGCAGGAGTCACGTGACGATGCAGCCCTGGATCGGCTCGGCTTCCCTAGTTGTCAACCTGGGGCTCACATGGCTGTTTGGGTTCCTCTACTTCAATAATGGTTAGCGTCTGAGTTATGTGAATATTTTGCCGTTTCCATAGATTTAAAACATTTGTTCTTCTCTCTGTCTCTGCCTCTCTCTCTCTCTCTCTCTCTCTCTCTCTCTCTCTCTCTCTCTCTCTCTCTCTCTCTCTCTCTCTCTCTCTCTCTCTCTCTCTCTCTCTCTCTCTCTCTCTCACTCTCTCTCTCTGAATTATGTATATGAAAGCCGAAACATGCATGGTGTTTATTTTCTAACAACATGTCTTTGATTCATTTTGTTTCAGGACTTTCATTCTTTGCAGTCGTCTTTACAATCTTGAACTCTCTACAAGGATTTTTCATATTCGTATTCCTTGTGCTGCTGAACGATAAGAATCGAACAGAGGCGCAGCGAGCCCTGTGGAGAGCAACGGTGCGTGATGGAGGGGAACGATTATTATTTCTAAAAAGTGTTTTTACGAGTTATTTTTATTTAGAAAAATAAATGGTTACATTGGTTGTAACCAAGATTCTTACAGATAGTTGTGACATTGGCCGATGGTTCGTTGGTGTGAGTGTGAGACACCTAACTATGTATGTCTGTTTATTTAACGATGGCGGATTGCTTTAAACGCACAAGTGAATACGGCACGAAACGAGCGGTAAGATTGAACAGAAGGCCAAAAAGTAAAATCAAGAGAAAGTTGATATTTTTATCTGGCCAGTGTTAAAGATAGGTATAGATGACTCACGTGCGCTTACTTAGCGCTCCAAGTAATCCGCCTACATAAAACAGACTATAGTTTTATCCAATTACATGCCTTGGGCGTTTACCTACCGTTGATTGATTTAGTTATTCAAATGACATGATATGTTGACTCATGAGCGCTCTTCTGTTCTCGTTCCCAGAACCGAGTGGGTATCACGGACATTGACCTGTCGGCGCGGCCGAACGTGGGCGTTCAGCGACACCGCTCCATGGATAAAGTGTCGCCGTTTCCCGACCCCAGCGAGCGAGATCAGGAGAGAGAGGAGCGGCCGGGCAGACTCGACAGGGCCGGTGACATGGTGCTGCGCGTGGTAACACGGATCAGAGGTGAGGAAGGATGAGCTGCAGACACTGCAGCGTGTCCATCAGCCCCACGAATACCTACTGGAGTAGCGTTATTCAAGAGTCAATTGTGTATATTACCACGTAGGCACGTATAGGTTATGTGCATATGAAAATTGATCGAATGATTGGCTGTGCGACGATTTCAACGTCGTTTAGCCGCAGGCAGTTGTACTAAAACATTCTTCAAATTGTAACTTAAAGGTCAGTCAACCACGATCCATGTTTGTGAATTTGATAATGAAAATAATACAACGTAGGTAATTAAGTAGCTACCAGCATGTCAGCTCCTCCTTAACCATATCAATAATGGTTCACAGCGGATGTCAGTCGCTATTCGCTGAAACGGGTCCACGAGGAAGACAATGCGACTCCGTCGCCTGGCGACCACGAGACTCTGCGTAAACTCGAGTCCACGGACCCCGCCGTCGTGGGACGAGGAGGCTGGTAGAACTCGGCTAGTAGAACTCGGAGGCTGGTAGAACACGGAGGAGGCTGGTAGAACTCGGCTACTGTGGCTGGCTGAATCCCGCTGGAGTCATCAGTGCTCAGAATGGATATAATCACAGTCACCGAAGTGAATATACTGAGAGTTAGGTGTAGTATCGAGAGATGTGAGACATGCGTGTTCTTTTTATAGACAATTGCGGTCTTCTTTGAGGCATGGTATTGTTTGGATAGGTGTCAGCTAGTATCTGTCAGCATTTTATCATGGCAGAACTTTGTAACCAATGAAATGATTTACTTACCTGACATCAAACATGCATTACACTAGCATATCACCAGACACCAATGTTAATTGTGTATGCTGTCAGTGGCGGATCCAGGGGGAGGGGGGGGCAAAATGGGCATTCCCCCCAAACGGCATAATTTTAACATTACGCCTATGGACGATGCATGGAAAGAATCGATAAATTGTTATGGTTTGCCCCCCCCCCCCAAAAAAAAAACTGAGCTGGATCCGCCCCTGTATGCTGTATGCTAGTCGGTGGTATTGGGTATACTTATAGGCATATATGAAGGTTGTATGTGAATGTAATATGTGACCGAAAAAAAAATATTCAACAGTACTGCATACCTGAGCGATGCTCTTTATAATTTTCAGCTTCAATGCTCAACGATTGCTTCATGTTAGCGTTGCTGTTCAGACTTAAGCATGAGTTATTATCCATAAAAGTTCGTTAGTTCATGATGCGGCTAAAAATTATGAAAAGTTTTAGCTGTTGAAACTGTTCCAATATTCTCTTATTTCTCTTCGTTTGTGTATTGTGTATACCAGTGTGCCGTTGTGTACAGTCGTGTACAGGTTGATGATCCCCTACTCTTTATCCACCGGGTTCCTATGGCTCAGCATTGGCAGCAGCCGCCTGGTACCGGTAGGCTGTGCCGCATGACCCGAGAGTGAAGCGGCACAGTCTACCCACGCCGTTTGACATCGGCTCGGGTCGCCGGGTGGATCGCTTTGTAGACCAGCTGTCGCGTCAGACCAGCGCGGGGGGAGGAGCTCGTCTCGGTGGTTGGCGTGGGCTGGCGAGTGGTGTGGGGCGTGTTGGTGGACCATGGGGGCTGGGCGGGTGTGTGTGGTCACTTGCTGCATTGCACATTTTGCGTCGCTTAACAATTGCATTCCTGTTTTTGCTAAGCACAATGCACGGAAGACCCAGCGAATATAATTTACTTGTGCATTGTGCAAAACGTGATTTGGCACGGTATCGAGGCAACCATAGGTCTTGTGCCACATATATGCATGATATTTATATGAAAATGGTAGATTGATCGGATTGATCCTGGATGTCAATTCGTATGCTAAATGTCGACACGTATTAAATGAACGAATGAATGAATCAATCAATCAATCGACAATCGACATGTAGATATAAAACCGTATAAATGGCTCGCAACCACTAAAATCAAACCAGATCCTAACTCGGAAAAGTAGCCGGAGCCCCGATGAGGCTCGAACCGGGACTCCACGTTGAAAGTTTTGCCAATGATCCATCATCATTCCACCAAGCTAGAGCGACCGGCACCCGCAACCACAAAAACATTGATTGACTTTGCTGCCGACCTCCCGGCCCCGCCGCCCGCCCGGCCAGACTTTGCCCCGATCACCATCCGGTGTAGCTCAGCGTAGGAGTGCTAGACTGTCAAACTGACCGGTAGTGAGAGGCCCGGTTCGAGGCGCTTCGCGTGCTGGATGTTTATTTCTATGTCCGAGGCTATGCGATTAGTCCACTTTTCAGAAAGATTATTTGGTGACAGGTCTGTTTTCTTTCTTTGCTGCAATTTATGAGGAGACCGTATGGACCCTTACCTGTCCTTCCGCACCCCACTTGGGAGATGGGTGTTTGAACCCCCCTGGGTTTTGTGAATATCTCTAAAGCGAATTTTTGGAGGGTGGATTACGATCGGTTCTATGCGACAAGTGACCACACACACCCAGCCCCAGGTCCGCTCACTCCCTCCCCACATCACCCCCGTCCCACACCACACTCCAGCCCGCCTCATCCGCCGAGCCGAGCCAAATAGACAGGCCTGACCTTTACCCCCCCCCCCTCCCCCCAGCCGCTGTAACGCAGCGTCCAGTCAAATCGCTCTACCAGGCGACCCGAGCCGGTGTCATACAGTGTGGGTAGGCTGTGCCGCTTCACTCTCGGGTCATGCGGCACAGCCTACCGGTACCAGGCGGCTGCTGCCAATGCTGAGCCATAGGAACCCGGTGGATAAAGAGTAGCGGACCATCAACCTGTACACGACTGTACGTCTCGCTTCCTATGAGGTAAGGTATATGATCAGATATGCATAGATAAATTTATAGTTACAACAGGATTGTGAATTGTGATGCATTAACACTTTAGGTAAGACAAATAAGAAGAGTTTCCTGCATAGCAGCTTTCGATAGTTTTTACATTAAATGCTGCTGTATATGAGGATCTAAATTTTAAACATTGCCGATGTCCGTGTCACATTGACTTGATGCCGTGCAAGGTGACTGGAACCTTATTGTTGAAGCATGAACTTAAAATAATTTCGAATACAGCAATGTTAAAGGCTAAGTTGAAGCTGAGAAGTGACTTCATCTCTCACCGGGTGCAATATAAGCATTCAGTGTCAAACGCATGAAGCAGCATCTCAAGCATATAGGCTAATGAGCCCGTCAGATGGTGGCAATGAAGCTGGCTGCCATTGAACATGATTCGATCTTATTTGATCTGGCAAGAAGTATCATTAATCAGACGAGCTGGTACTTGCACAGCGACTTGTACTCTGGCATGCCGTCCTTGACGACGTAGTCGATCCACTCTGCTTCCCCGGCCAGCGCCGCCACGCAGAGGTGCTTGCTGGGATCTTTGTCGGGCTTCTGCACGGGCGACTGACGCCAGTGGGAGAAGCTGACCGAGCTGCCGTCCAGCAGCCACCGGAACTGGTAGCTGCCGCTGGCCGCAGCCGTGTGCTCCAGTCCAATAAAGGCGCTGGAGCGGGACAGCACTGACTTGACATACTGGTTCTCCTCCGCTGACTGTATGGACGCCAGCTCGGCCCCCGACCGCGCGCTGCGACACAGAGCCTTGCTGGCCTCCCAGCCCATTCTGTCAGGATAGAGCCGGAAACAGGCGTCGCCGAGCCGGGTCCAGTCCGTGTCGCAGCTGAGCGGCGCGGCCTCTGTGGTGGTCGGAGCAGTGGTAGTCGTTGGGGGCGCCGTTGGGCTAGTCGTTGTAGTTTCCTCCCCCTCCGCAGCGGCCAGGAGCTGGCACGGACCGGCACCGGGGGTGGAGAAAAGAGCCACGGCCCGGCAGTCGGACCGCAGAGCGCAGAGCAGACCGCACTGGACGCGGCTGCCGGCCAGGAGGGTGGCCAGAGTGGTGCGGTTGTGGTCGCCCCAGGGAAGCATCGGCATCAGCCGGCCGGAGCCGCGGGATGATGGTAGCTCCAGCAGCACCAGTGCCAGCGCCAGCAGGAGGGGATGTCGCAGCGCCGTGGCAGGCATGCTTGTGGGGATATTTGGAGGTGGGGGCTGAAGATCGGTCCGGAGGCGGGGACGGACCGTGTCGAACCGAACAGTGCGACAATCGTGCCGCTACTGAGCTGGAGCTGGGTAAGGATGTGTGAGCCACCCCCCCCCCCCACCCCAGCCCCACGCGACGCTGGGGAACGCTGTAAGGCGGGCAGCGGGGACCGGCATTGTTAGGTACCGTAGCCAACCGTTTGGTCGGCAAGGCCTCAGGTAATAGCAGCAATATCATGACACCGCACGGAGGAGCAATAAATGAGAACAAGCTCTCAAATCAAGTTTTTTTTAGAACATTGGTGGTGTTGTAATGTTCAGTGAAACCTTATGAAGCGTGTGGGATAAAAACATCCTTTGTAAAAGCTCATAGGTGATTATTTTTGCAAGAAGGCACGCTTCGTCTAACGAATGCTTCGTTGTCCCTCATAATTGTTTGAGACCGAATTTCGCAGGCACTCGTAGCAGGCCAGCGGCCACGCAAATAGACTGCATATCCATCCGTGACTCACAAATTAAATTGGGTCGCGACCTAAGCCAGTCAACCATTGGGTGCGCTGTAGAATATTAAACCGCGAGAAGTTGGAACAAATCTTTTAAACGCCGAGCCGATAGGCGAGACGTTTTAAATATTTTTCTACCGAGCGGTTTAATACTTTTATCCCAAACCGCCGATATCTTTCGGGCGCTCAACGCGGGCCCCGCTGGGGGTTGTTGGATTTCCATGCCCTGCTGGGGGGGTGTTTGAACACCCCCTTCTAACTCGGCTCCTGGGCCACATAGCGATACGCGGAAGGCGGCGTTACAAAGAGCGCCAAAAATAATGACGAAACTACTGCGGTCACGTATTTGGTCAGGTCAAAGGTCAGGTCATCAGAGGTCATGAAGGCAAAATTTCACCGATTTTCAGGTCAAATGTCGACAATTTCCAAGAAGCCAACACAGCACTTAGGAACCAATAGAGCTCAACAGCGTTGCAGAAAAGCGCATTCTATAGCCCTATTAACGCCCTTTCTGAGTAATTCTCTCATATTTTACCTAACGTCAACAGTTTTGCCTGCAGGGGGCAAAAACTTCCAAAATAGTCGTTTTTTTAAACTGCTGTTGCAATAACTTTTGTCTGCAATAACTTTTGACTCAAGCGTTGCACGAGCTTACTTTTACCGACATTGTGTTCCTCTCGTCAAGACACATCGAATGAACTACACATAATAGCCGTTTTCACGACGGGCTATCCGGCGAATGCACCCAATTTGACCAAATCTGCACCTAATCTCTTTTACAGCAAATATCTTCATTTTATGGATTTATTTCGGTGTTTTAATCGATGATACTCTATGATAACATGATAAAGCGTAAATATATAGTAATTCGCGCGTGTTTGAATCCTTTTTCAATTTTCTCCTGATGACGACATAGGTATTAACGATACTTAACGATTAACCCTCGCCGGCACAGGCCATTTTGAGTCCTTCGACGGCACAAGGGGGGTTGGTACGACCCCCCCCCCTCGCGTTTGGCCCCTCATGAAGCTAGAGCTTCGCGGAAAAAACGAACGTTATGCCCGTCACGAGAGGAAGCCAATGATACCCAATTTTAAGGTCCTAGGTCATCGGTTGACCTTCCAGGTCAGGTCAATCACCCAAAAATCAGAAATATCAGGACCTGTTAGAAAGTCGTAAAGCGTGGCTGGTAAGGGGTTTTCCGGGGTGCTGATCACGAATATCGTGTTAGTTTTGAGCACAGATGATGTTGTTAAGCGTTTAGACCAGGTCGGGTCAGGTCAGGTCAGGTCAGGTCAGGTCAACCGGTAGGGGTCGTGACGGGTATTCGTAGTACCTGTCATCCGCCTCTGACAGCTTCGTAACATGTTACGAAGGCACCAAAACTACTTCGTAAATGTTCAAATGGTTGCTAAATTCGAATTCAGCTCCAAAAACTAGCCTAGAAGCATGTAAAACTCGAAAAAGTGAACTGAGGTCACCAAAGGTCAATGACCTGACCTGACCTTCAAGTGACCTTGACACCCACCCTAATGTATGGGAGCAACATCAAATCACATGTTTGAACGTTTGA